GATTCAAATTGCGCTATTCTCCCTCCAACTCAGGTAATATGCTACTTAGGGATTCTGACGCAGCCACAAGTAGCCAACTCAGTGGGGAATACATCCAGGATGTCAGAGATCCACAAATAGGAGTGGTAGGCTAAAGAGTAATAGTGTATGCAGTATTTATCTATATCAGCTCCACATGTGTATTAGAAGAGGACAACCATGGATTCCAGACACTATCAAAACGTGCCGGGTTGCCCCTCTATTCATACGTTAGTTTGTAAATTGGAAAAGACTGGTCGATCAGGCATTGCCCCTCTCCCAGGGATGGAGCCGTCGGGCTACCCCAGACTAGTAGGATGGTCTTTCTGGCATAGAATAAAAGGAGGCGGAGGAGTGTCTGAGATCTGGAGGCCAATGACAGCTCCCTAAATAGACCCAGGAGGCAGAACGCCGAGTTGCAAATATTGGGAAAACTGAGGCCAGTTTCCATAAAGGAAGTGACCTCTGACCAATAGGCTCTAATGATAGGGCATGTCCAAAAACAGTGCAGGAAGTCGGCCTCCCGTCCGCATCGCTTAAAACAACGCGAGGTCAGGCGGAGGCCGAGTCTATGAAGTAGAGCGGGGGTGTAGAATGCCTGGTAGAAGAATTTCATTTGGATCAATTTGTCCTTAGGGGCTATCACAGATCACATGTAGCTACTCTCAAAGTCTCCCCAATCATCTTCCACTAGATCCGGGATGATCAACCGCCACCTCTGTTTGCGACTGTCGAACCTACCGGACCCATAGGACATAAGTTCCCCATAATAATCAATTTTTCCTTAGAGGCTATCACAGATGACATGTAGCTACTCTCAAAGTCTCCCCAATCATCTTCCACTAGATCCGGGAGGATCAACCGCCACCTCTGTTTGCGACTGTCGAACCTACCGGACCCATAGGACATAAGTTCCCCATAATAAGTAGAGATCAATTTGACTGAGTCATCTCTGCGCAGCAGCCCCTGCAGGGATGACTGAGTAGGTGTAAATGCGGTCGACCCAAATTGGGTGCGAATCGCATGTAGGAGCTGGAAGTAGGCAAAGAAATCACATGGGGAGAGGTTCAACTCCTTCCTGAGCTGCGGAAAATCAGGCATCGCCCCATTCTGAAATAGGAGTGACAAACATTTAATGCCCCTAGAGTACCAGAAAGCGGCCGATGGCAGGCGCTGCAGCTCTGGGAAGGCAGGGTTACCCCATAAAGGGGAATGAGGAGAATGACACCATTGGGATAGTGAAAATCGATTAATAACATATCTGAGGATACGGACAGTCACAGAAATCATGCCTGCCCCCTGGATCTTCTGGTTGTGAGTGATTCCCCTATATACAACATTTTGAAGGGATTCAAAGGATGTTAGTATGGCTGCTTCGGTAGCCGTGCAGGCATTGCCAATCTGGGGGACCAGCCAGTCATGAACCACCACTAGTTGGGAAGCAAGGTAATACATATGAAAGTCTGGAAAGGCCAGGCCCGCCATCGAACAAGGGAGCTGCAGCACCACCAGAGGGGTACGACCCCTCCACAGGAATACAGTGCAGATAGAATTAATTTTACGGAAATAACTTTTTGGGACATAGCAAGGGGCATTCGCCAGGATATATAGCAATTTGGGGAGGAAGTTCATCTTAATGATATTGACTCTTCCCATAAGATCCAGTGGCAGGTCCATCCACTGTTTGGTCTTCAAATGGAGAGAGTCAATAGTTGGTGACAAATTATTAGCAATATAGGAGGAAAGAGGCAGCTGGACTATAACACCCAAATATTTAAAGTCATTTGCAACCCTCAGTGTGGACATGGGGTGAATATTCGCCACTGTAACGTCGTCCAGAGGAAAAAGAATGGACTTGTCCCAGTTGACCTTGAACCCTGAGAAGGTTCCAAACAGGTCCAGTAGCTGTAGGAGGTGACACAGGGAGTCATTTGGATCGGACAGATAAATCAGCGTATCGTCAGCGTATAGAGAGATTCGCTCCTCCAAGTCTCGTATCCTCAAGCCGCGTATATAGACAGATTCCCGTATCCTAATCGCCAGAGGCTCAATTGCTAGGACAAATAGGATAGGGGAGAAGGGACAGCCCTGGATACTAGACATGTGCACCAAAATTCGTTTAGTTTAGTTTCGTTTTTCGGGTCCGAAATTAAATTAGTTTCGGACGAAATTCGTTTATGAAAAAAAAACAAAAAACTTTACTCTCCAATGGCTGGACTTGAACCAGCAAACTTCACAATGGCAACTACTTGCAAGCCTGTACCTCTATCCACTACTCTATAGCCTCTGTACTTTAAGTATAGCAGCATTTGATATATATGACTGCAATATGTTGACAGCTGAGGATGTCAAATGGGCGGAGCAAGCCGTGACGTCATGGCTCGCTCCGCCCATCTGTTGACTTTCAAACTGAATGTCATTTTTGTTCGTTTTCGTCAGATTCGGATGGTCGTCTGCGGCGGGACTTTTTTTATTTCGGCGGGTCGGCGGGGGCGCTGCATCCTGATCCTGACTCTGGATTACATCGATGGAGCCATTTTTTTTTTCATTTTTTTATTAAAGGACTAGTCAAAAATTGACTGTTTGTTTTTTTTTCAATTAAAGGATTTTGTCAAAAGTCTGGACTTTTTACTAATTATACAGAATCTACACATTCTCACATAGCAGACGGTCATAGGATGACAAGGTTACACAGATATATTACAAGATTCAAATTGCGCTATTCTCCCTCCAACTCAGGTAATATGCTACTAAGGGATTCTGACGCAGCCACAAGTAGCCAACTCAGTGGGGAATACATCCAGGATGTCAGAGATCCACAAATAGGAGTGGTAGGCTAAAGAGTAATAGTGTATGCAGTATTTATCTATATCAGCTCCACATGTGTATTAGAAGAGGACAACCATGGATTCCAGACACTATCAAAACGTGCCGGGTTGCCCCTCTATTCATACGTTAGTTTGTAAATTGGAAAAGACTGGTCGATCAGGCATTGCCCCTCTCCCAGGGATGGAGCCGTCGGGCTACCCCAGACTAGTAGGATGGTCTTTCTGGCAAAGAATAAAAGGAGGCGGAGGAGTGTCTGAGATCTGGAGGCCAATGACAGGTCCCCAAATAGACCCAGGAGGCAGAACGCCGAGTTGCAAATATTGGGAAAACCGAGGCCAGTTTCCATAAAGGAAGTTACCTCTGACCAATAGGCTCTAATGATAGGGCATGTCCAAAAACAGTGCAGGAAGTCGGCCTCCCGTCCGCATCGCTTAAAACAACGCGAGGTCAGGCGGAGGCCGAGTCTATGAAGTAGAGCGGGGGTGTAGAATGCCTGGTAGAAGAATTTCATTTGGATCAATTTGTCCTTAGAGGCTATCACAGATGACATGTAGCTACTCTCAAAGTCTCCCCAATCATCTTCCACTAGATCCGGGGGAGGATCAACCGCCACCTCTGTTTGCGACTGTCGAACCTACCGGACCCATAGGACATAAGTTCCCCATAATAAGTAGAGATCAATTTGACTGAGTCATCTCTGCGCAGCAGCCCCTCCAGGGATGACTGAGTAGGTGTAAACGCGGTCGACCAAAGTTGGGTGCGAATCGCATGTAGGAGCTGGAAGTAGGCAAAGAAATCACAAATGGAGAGGTTCAACTCCCTCCTGAGCTGGGGAAAATCAGGCATCGCCCCATTCTGAAATACTCATTGTTTGGGACATGAGCATGCCGTTTTGATCCTGATGCTCTGTCTTTACTGCTATTGTAATGTTCTTTTTGCTTAGACATGTCATATACTCATACGGAGTTGCAGCTTTGTAACCTTGCGGTTTACTGAGAAGTGAGAAGGATTCCACCATTTGGACAATTTTAATACCACAGTGAACTCTAGGGCGGTCTCTCCCTGGAGTTCCCTGTGAAAAAAACTGACTACAATTATATTTGGTATTAGTTCAATGATAAAAGTTGTGGCAGTTGAGGGGTCAAAGGGTGCTGTGCTCCCTTTCTTTGGATTCCAGCACTGGAGGAAAACCCAATGAAGGCCAGTTTTAGGTGATGCTGGAAACCAGAAAGTACATATTAGTAAAACATTTTTTTACTTGGCATCTGTTTTTTTTTAAATTAAATACAATTATGGGGCCTGTTTTATCTGTGGCAGGATTTGTACTTCTGCCCATCCAGTCTTGAAATTTACACAGCTCTGCCCCACTGCAAAGCCCTGTCCAGCAGGGGAGAAAACCTTTTCCTGCTGCGGTTTCACTTTCAATCACAGGTCCCCTTCCTAACCCCACCCTGTGACTGGGCAGTGAAGGGAGAAACAGCACACTGATGAGCTCATGTATCTGCTCTCTCCTTCTATTAACATGTTACTTGTAGTGCAGCACACATAATTTGGTGCAGCGACGTGCCCCACTCTGAGCTCTGCTGGATAGTAGACACCAAGAGGCTGATATCAAGGTAAATTATGGAACTTACACTGCTTGATTACAGAGCTACATTTCCAGACTTTGTGTCTTTTGAAGCTCTCTGGATCCCCATGCAAGAACAGAAGTTACCAAACGTCAGTGAATATATTTTTTAACAATCGAATACACGTGGATCTGTGCTTTCATGAATAGAGCGAACATTTTTATTGCTGTTTGTTTTACTGCTGGGGAGATTTAGCATAGTCACCAGGACAGAAAAGGATATCCAAAATGTTACAACTGTCATTGGAACAGAAAGGGGAAATCATCCAATAGGAACATCTGTTCAGGTGGTAACTGTCTTATCTCACATTTTCAATTTGGAGAGAATTTCATGGAGTCTCTGGGACAGGGAGCATTGAGAAAACGTCAGATAGAAAAGAAAAAACACTAACAGGGGTTTTATCCATTTCCTACTCAATCCAAAAAGTGTCTTTAGATATATTTTAAGCAGAAAAAAAATGTAGTTACCTTTTGTTTACTGCTTTTAAACTCTAGCATGCAGTAAAACCGAAAGTTGCCTACTTACTTTTGGTTAGTATCTGGAGATCTTCAACAGAAGTTGGGGTATTTCTTTTCTCATAAGGAATAACTGTGGTCAAATACTGTGAAAATAAATTAAAATATTTTTGTTAGAATATATTATACCTCTTCATTTACACAACTTACAGTGCATGTCAAGGAATTGACCTCATTAGTAAGACCTTAATAGATTCACCTACAAGACTATGACGAAAGGAAAGCAAAGCATGTCCATATAAACCAATATTTTGTAAACTACACTAGAAAAATACCCATTATCTAATTCTTTACATGAAACACCTTTACTTTATCCATATAGAAAGCAAATGCCTAGTGATTTTTTTTTTGGCTCCCTGTTTATCCAAATTCCAAGTACTTTTTTCAGTTTTTGTTTACATGTTATAATCCACATTTCAGGCCTGAAAATTACTTAAACCCCCCAAACATTATATATTTTCTGAAAGCCAAGACCCTATAGAATGAAATGGTGGCAGTTGAGCCGCCAGAATAGTTTCTACTGTAAAGCCGAAAGTCTGCTTTACATGTTTAAACATGCCGCCGGGAGTCTGTTTAAACGGCCCCGATGTCAGTGATGTACACTGTACGTCACTGGTCATGAAGGGTTTAACAAAGCTCCAGGCAATGTAATACTTTCTTATATCTTAGTCAACAAACACACAAAATGTGAAACCATGAGATTCTTCAGAATAATAACACCAACAAGACCATTCCTGTGTTGCTCTTATTCTGGAACTCACCTCACATGCAAATCAGGTATCCCATAAGACTCAATCTGTGCAGACTATGTACAGTTAAAAAAATAAAAAACCTTAAAAGAGGAACCTTACCCATATTCTTTGAAATGACAGCAAATACACCTGTAGAAATGTTTAGTAATGGCAATCTACAAACAGATATCTCTAGATAAGTTGCAGGCTCTCAATTCTTTGCAGTCCTTGTTTTTCTTTTCCTCCCCATTCTTCTCACAATGGCCATTTTTACTAAGAGAAGATTAATATATCTCCATTTACTTTCTGGAACTCTAGCACATGTGCCTAGGACATGTGACCATGCACATCATCTTAAGGGAGGAAAATAACTTTCTCTGAGAACTTGTGAGATTGCAGATTTCCTAGCAATGCTCTGCTGATGTAACCTTCACAGGATGCAATGCTTGGGAACATTACATCACTAATGCCCAAGAAGAGCAGTACGTGGGAACACAGTAAATATAAGTAAAAGAAAAATATGTATGTAAAAAAAATTTAAAAAATTGCTTTTGCAAAAAAAGTAGTACAGCACTATACCATATACCACACTTAAAATTTGATTGAATATGACAGTGTAACTATATACATATTAGTGATCAAAATTCATAAACAAATTATAAAGTGCTACAAAAGCATTACATATCCCATGCTTATAGAGAACAAAATAAACTCTTCTTATGTCATCAAATACACACTAGATTCATAAGTCTTTAAATAAGTAGTTATAGCTGCCAAAAGGTCTGAAATATAGTATATTTGTCATCTGCTTTATGATGGATTCTACAATAGAAGCAGTTCGCCCCTATTAAGCCACCACTCACTATTGGACCCCTCCCCACCAAAGAGAAGGCTATCTGCACTTAAATACTCCTTAAAGGAATTCCTCAGGAACGCAGCCAGAAGCTGGTGTCCTATTCTAGACAAAGGATTCCCTTAGGCAGCAAAGAAATCCCAAAAAGTGGAGCTTGTCTAATAGATAACAATTAAATAAATCGCAATACATTTTAATGATTATAGGAAAATACAAAATTAGAAACACACTGCACAAACATTTAAAATCTTAAAATAACTACGGCTTCCCTACAACAGCTTAATAGGCAGGTATATAAGGTGATAGTTATTTGATTACCCACAGTGGGCAGGGGTGTATCTACTGCAAGGAAAACTAGGCATTTGCACTTTCCAGGGGGGCGCCAAAAAATGCTGCCCCCAAACCAGTTAGGCAAGAGGAAAAAAAAAAATTATATTATAAATTATTCATAAATTACTGCCAGTACCCCTGGACCTGGTGCCTCTTTGACTGGGGGACCAACGTGTCCACCTATGCCGCCTACTCCTACATATATGCCGGCTGCAGCTCCTTCCTCTTCCTGGTCAACATGCTGTGCAATGTATTGGTGTGTGTGACTTTCGTCCGGATGCACTTGCAGTTCCTGCGCCGGACCTCCCTGGGAAACCAGGACCCAAATCTCTGACTTCAGGCAGTGGAGGAGCTTTCGCAGGATCCCAGGGCTGAGATCCAGATGGTCATCGTGCTCATCGGCACCTCCGTGGTGGTGAGTCTGGGGAAGTGCAGCCTATAAGCTCCGTGCAGGGTTAGGTCTCTAGAGCGGGGCAAGCTACAGAGCCCAGCGGCCCAGGCAGAAGATGGGTAACTGCAGAATTAGACTGACAGGTTATGCAAAATGTCTTAAACAGGAAGGGGTGGGACTAATTTAGATTAGGGATGGGAGGGTGCTCGGGTTTAGTCTTGCCTAGGGCAGCACAAAACCAAAATACACCACTGATGGTGGGTGGCGAGCAATCACTTATATGCGAGTCAGGCTTAATAGGGTGAATCAGATACAATTGTATCCCTGTATGCAGAGGTTACTCACTTTCTGTTTGTTGTTATAATGTAATGATCCATACTGAGTCCCATGCTGGATTTGTTGGTTTCTTATTTGACATCCAAGATGTATCCGTTTGGTGATGTACAATCACAATGATCGTTTCATTGTCAGTGAGAACCATATTTCTTTCACAGAGTTAACCGGATCCTCACATACAAAGAAGCCGATTATGCCCTTGATGTATGACGCCAGGGAATGTCTCCTATACGTCTGGCCGCACATTGCAATCCGAGTAGCAGATATCTCCCGGATATGTGCTGGTTGACATCCAAGTCCCGGCTCCAATTGCCGCTGTCGTATACCGGCGGACCCAGCTCAATCCACTCAGCAGTGTGCTGATTAGCATCCAGATCCCGGCTCCGATTGCCAATATAATACACCGGCAGACACAGCTCAATCCACTCAACAGTGTGCCGTCCCGCCAACCGCAGGTTTAAAAATCTCAACAAAAGCCCTTACCCCATAGTTTTAATTTTTTTATTACTTTTTTTTCACACACAACTTTATTGCTATTACATGGAGGACTAAGAAGCCCCCTATGTGATAGCCAATTTACATGACAGGTCCTCTTTAGGGAGACATCAGGGGTCTCCAAGACCCCTAATGTCATCTAGGGACCCCCAGAGAAGCTGATATAGCAGAGATCTGCTTCATCAGCTTCTGTAGCTGGGAGAGTGACACTGAATGCAGGAAGTGATGTTATATACATCACTTCCTGCATTCGGGGACTGAACTCCCTTTGATCACCTGTCACAGAGCCGTGCCGGTTCAGGCCGCATCGGGCACAACGGATCTCGGGACCGGCAGTGACAGCTGCTAATACAAGCGATCGAGCATCTCTAGAGACGCCCGATCGCTTGAATGTAAAGCTCCCGGCTGGCCTTTTTACAGGTAATTACAAGGGCCGGCCGGGAAGCTGCTCGTCGGGCTCCACCATCCTCTCGTCACAGATTTTTCAAGCCCAAACTGTGTGAGCTGGATACAGTTACATCCATCAACAGCCATCTGTTTAATAAATGCAAACTTCTGTAAAATCAGAGCAAAAACACAAAATTAACACACATCAACAGGCACAGAAATATGCTAACACTTATAAGAAGGAATTCCCTTCAGTGTACAACTATTTGCAAACAAAACCCTTACAAATTAGGGCTGTTAATGATTAAAATTTTCCTGTTCGGTTAATTGAATTTTTTTTAATCGATTAATTATAACGCACATACAGAGGGGGATCTCACCATAGCTTTGAGGGGGCCTCACCAGGGTAGCAGGGCTCTGTGGGGTCTAACCAGCCTTGTTAGAACAACAAGAGGGCGCAAAACTAGGTCAGCTGACTGCCTGGACCGAACATATCAGGGAAGGTGACAGGAACAATAAATATATATGTATAATGTACTTACTTATGCGAGTCTGGGAACCAGATGTGAACCGGCCTGTGAGGAGGATCAGGATGTCCAGAATGTATGTTGAATGGCGGCAGCCTCAGGCAATATATCAGCCGCCATTCAACATACATTCTGGACATCCTGATCCTCCTCACAGGCCGGTTCACATCTGGTTCCCAGACCCACATAAGTAAGTACATTACATATATATTTATTGTTCCTGTCACCTTCCCTGATATGTTCGGTCCAGGCAGTCAGCTGACCTAGTTTTGCGCCCTCTTGTTTCTCTCTTTGGTTTTCACATCCGATGCACTCATGAACCAGGAGACTTCCCCCAACCCCCAAGTAGCAGAACACCAGTGCCTGCGACCCTGGGATATAAGAATGAAGGCATGCTGGGACTTGCAGTTCAACTACAACCAGCATGCCTTCATTGCCCCTGTACACCTCTCCACATCACCCAGGGAACTACATGTCCCAGCATGCCCTTATGGTCTTTGTACACCGTCCCCCACATAAATCACCCAGGGAACTACAAGTTCCAGCATGCAAGCCCCCTGCAGTAGTTCCCTGCGTGATATGTGAAAGTTGTACAGGGACAGTTGAGTGCATGCTGGGACTTGTAGTTCCTTGTATGATAGAAAGCTATTTTAATTACTTTCCTCATGAAAATACAATGCCATTATAGTACAGTAACTTTTGAACTCAACTATATTCTATTCAATGTTTCTATAATGACAAATATAAAATTATTGGCCTTGTTTTATATGCTGTTCCTATAGAAAATTATTTAACCACTTGAAAAAGTGTTCATGATTTATTGAACATTGATTACGGTTGCCTTATTATTTTATGAATTAAACAGATAAAAGAGTGAAGTCAAAGCAAAACAGATCTCTGCAACGTGATTTCAAGTTGTTACCATGAAACACAAAATAACTGATAGCAAAACTATATTTATTTATTACAGGTATTTATATAGCGCCGGCAATTTACGCAGCATTTTACACAGTACACATCCACATGAGTCCCTACCCTCAAGGAGCTTACAATCTAAGGTCCCCATCTCACATGCATACATACGAGGACCAATTTAGACATAGCCAAATAACCTACCAGCATGTCTGTGGAGTGTGGGAGGAAACCAGAGTACTCAAAAGAAACCCATGCAAGCACAGAGAGAACATGCAAACTCCTTGCAATTATTGAAATGGTCGGGATTCGAACCAGGAACCATGTGCTGCAAGGCAGAAGCGCCAACTACGCCACTGTCAAGGGGTTTAAAACCATTGTAGTCTAAATGCTGTACACATGTATCTGGAAGGTCGAAATCCTGGCGAGTCAAAATAATAATGGCATAATAAAAGGCATAACCTACATCATGAAGACAAAAGAACACTTGTAGCAACGTCATTAAAAATGGATTTCTGTACTGTAAAATATACCTCTGGGTATAAGCCCTTACCTTTGGGAGGCTGGAGACTACGCACATTCAAAGACACAGCCCTACTTTGTGGCAATACCCTGGTACATACCGAACAAGGAGTAGCAAGCAGTGAACAACAGGCAAGCAAAGCTTTCCAAAGAGTTATCTAAACTAGGACATCTAAGCTATGGCAACAGAACAACAAATAAAACATGATGGGTAGAATTCTGTGCCTACTGGAAAAAAAGAAAAGAAAAAGATTGACTGGGAGTACAAAAATCTATTTTTATTTCAGTGTTCATAGGGGACCCTTGCATCGAAATATGGCAAAAAAACCAGAACCTAAATGAGTGGACAGAGAACTATTTGGCTGCCTTGCACATTTGGGAAACAGATGCCTGATGCCAAAAGGTCCAAGATAATCATATGACATATTACACTGTCATTAATTTTACGAACATGTCTGTCAGACACAGGTGTGTTCTAGCAGAAGCTCTATCCATTTGAAGTGTAAGCCCTGCCCACTTTCTGGAATAGTACACTAAAAAAAAAGTCCTCCAGGAACAGCACAGCAATAAAAGGTTCCCAGCAACCGAGAAACACTTATCCTGTCCCCAAACTGTACCAGAAAAAGGAAATAGACAGGAGCTAGGCAACATCCCCTTCACGCCCCTGTTCCTAAGAGACACGGAGCAGTATGACCGTATGCAGTATGCATATCAGAATCTGGGGGTGCGGTATGACACTAAGCCTAGTGATGGTCGCAAAGGTAAATATGTGGATTTGGAGATCTGGTAGGACAGCTGCTGTGGAGAATATCCAGAATATGACATTGCCAGAAGCAACTGATAAAAGAATATTCAGCTCCAAATCTCCCACTGACACAAAACTAAAATAAGCTTGTTCAAGATAAGCATATTTTTAGCCACGAGATGGGGCTGTACCTTTGTATTTGCCTAGTGCCCAACCTGCTAAAGGCAGCAAAATAGAGTCAAAATATATCTTGGGAGTACAGTACTTCGCTTTTTAGCTATCATACCTTAACACCATGTTTAGTGTAAACTAAACACTGTACATCATCATGAACCCACCATACGGTTAATCATGCAATGGCACCATAATATTGTGGGGAAATATAAATTGACATTCTGGAGAAAAATCAGATGCAGTCTGCATGAAAACTTAGCCTTTGGAAATGATTTGTCTTGCGGCAAAACAATGACCCCAAGCAAAGCTAAACATAAATAGGAAAAACTTAAAAATGTCCTGAAATCGCCAGATCCCAATTCAATAGAGCACTTAACGTGACACTAAATACAGGAGTTAAATCCTAAAAATGCATTCAAATACCTTAACTATTAACAACAATTTAGCTGGTGTGTCACTCAGCTGTAGATCCTCAAATCATCTCTAATTTTTTGCCAACACTGTCCTTCCTTCTGGAGCGTGGCTACTTTGGTTCCCTATGGTTCCCGTAAGGTTGCTCCTGTATTGGACTATAACTTCAATACAAATTAGCTAACTAAATGTGAAACTGTTGTCCAAGAGCAAGCTTGGAGTGGTGGCTACTTTACAACACACACAATGATAATGGGGAACAACAGTAGCCACCCTCCAGAAGGAAGGACAGTGTGAGCTCAAATTTAGAGATGATTTTAGGATCTACAGCTGAGTGATACACAGCTACATTTTTGTTAAGTTAAGGTACTTGAATGCATTTTTAAGATTTTAATTTCTGAGTTTAGTGTCACTTTAAGGCTGAACTGAAATGGGCAGTTCAGAGAGTTTGATCAGTTTTGCAAGAGGAACGGGGAGGATAAATTGCAGTGTCCGGACACGCAAATCTGAGACCTAGTCACACAGAATTAATGTTGTATTTGCTACCACGGGTGTATAGAATAAATAGGGACATAAATGGGGATGTATACTTATGCATTGTGAGATTTTTTTTTATTTAAACAACTTCGTAGATATCGGTTTTAGTGTCTAGTGAAAGGATCTAGGTCTGTTGATCTGTTTAAAAAATAAAAAAAATAAATTAGATCCACTGTTGATTCAATGTTCTATAACAATTTTTTTTACAGGAACTGTCTAACTCTTAAAATAATGTTCTGAAGTTGCCACTCAATCCCCAGAAATCTATAGATCACTAGCTACGGTGTTTCCCCGAAAATAAGGCAGTGTCTTTCTACGAAAAAAAAAAAAGACACTAGGACTTATTTTCGGGGGATGTCTTACCTGGCTGCAGCTGTCCGCTCTGCCGTCCAGGGAGCCAGGCGTGCGGGCGGGAGCTGCGGCTAGAGAATCCCAGCACCTGTTTCTCGCCATCTGAACTCCCAAACGTCTGGCGAAAGCTATTCTGTATGACATTCGACAGACCTTCAATGCTGAAGCGCTACAGAAGTATAGAAGTAAAGCAGGCAGTGGAGGAAGGAAGAAAAGGTTGTTAGTAAGGTCTTTCATATTAGACATGCTATATTAGACAAGATGGCAAGAAATACATCAACACTAACATCTTGTAAAAATGAGTAAATAAAATAGAACTCCATTTATACGATGCTAGCTTGAAGCTGGTATAACCAAGTCACCAGAAACACATTTCCTTATAAACATGTCCCGATTTTGATTTGAAGTAGATATGGAATTATAACTGAAGTGATTCAGTATCTTTAGAAAACCTTTACTTTTCCCTCAGTTCAGTGTAATCCAGAGCGAGGTCACATTAGTACAATAAAGAACAAATTATGTACTGTAAATCTATGCATGTTTCTCAAAAACAAATAAATCTATGAAACTGGTCTAAAGTGAATGTTCAATAAGAAAAAATAATTGGATTCGGTAGGGAAGGACTACTTGGAGGAGTCCATTGAGTGAAACATTCTATGGCTAATAAGCAACCTATGGGTATACTGCCGCCTAAAGGAGAAATGGACACTAGGCACAAAAACTGAAAGCAAGCCCCCTAGAGGTTAAATCCACTTCCACCTCATATCTGCTCAGGTGTAGCAATAAAACCAAGGAGGAAAAAAAAGCATATGCAGGGAGGGAGCTGTGTCCCTTACAAGGATTCTGAAAAAAAAAAAGATTTTAGGGTCACAACAATAATCCTACTGTCCATTAAGGGATAGATTAATATAAAGAAATTCTGCGCTATGGAATCTGTCTCAAAGTGATAAATATCAAAAGATGAAAAGCTGCGCCACGCTATTCCATAATCATAATGTGTGAATAATAAAGAGCTAGATATCAAATACATCACATATATAACCAATATAGTTAATAAATACTCCTAAATAATAAAACATGTCTCATTGTAATATCTCCACTACTGGAGACACGTTTTATGTGCAAATAGATAATTAAAGTCCACCATTAATTGATGCAAAAAAGTGACAAAGTGCCAAGATGTAAATAACCATCAGTGATAAGACCTTCTTATAGTTGTAGCTACCATGTCATGTCAATGGCACTGCAGAAACACCTCCCGCCTGCACTGGAGCGCATGGTACACCAATGCTCTGCATTCCAGTGTGGTGCGTTCACAAAAAATAGTGCATCCACTGGTCATGTGCAAGACTTTGCCCAGTCAGGGCTCAGTACTCTGTAAGAGCCATGATGGGGCAAAGTCATCATGACTTTGCCCCATCATGGCTCACTGCTAAGTCCCAGCAGCACACTATATAAGGCTGCTTACACAGCAGCCCTACGTAATGTGTTGCTGTAGTAAAATAAAATAAAAAAAGAAGGTTATTTCAGCATTCTATACTATAGCAGTCAGTCATACGGGTCGATTATAGCAGTCAATTAATGCAATCAGCATCATGTCGGAAAGGCCAACAAGGAGAGGTAGACGCTCCCATGCAGCAATAAGAGCGCAAGCAGCCTCTGTGTCCGCAGGCCAAAGTCGTGGTCATGGATGTGGTGCAGCCTCTGCAGACAGGGCACGCTTGTCCTTTTAATCTGGTGCTGGCCGTGTTATTCAGCCACAACATACAGAAGAGGTGGTGGATTGGATAACTAAGCCATCCTCCTCCCGTCACCCAGGCTCATACTGGTTCTCAGTTCACCGCAGCTGCCAAAGTGGCCTATTCTGCCTTGTCCACAGCTACTCCTGCCCTAGCTCCACCATCATGCATGGAGGAGTCAGCTGAATTGTTTTAACACACCGTCAGTGACATGCTGCTGGAGGATGCGCAGCAATTACAATGGTCTGATGTTGGCTCTGAGGTGGAGGAAGGGAGTAGCATGAGCCTAAAAGGGAGGGGGTGATGATGATGGACAATAAACTGTCACTCATGTTCCCCCAGCCGCAGCATACTGCCAGGTTGGCTCCAGTGATGAGGACAGAGGGGATGATGATGATGAGGTCTACTTGGGTGCCTGATCAAACAGAGGAGGAAAGTGAGGAGGAGGCACAACCCCAACGAGGCCGGATGTCCTACAGGGGCAGCCTTAAGAGCAGCCACCCCATTGCATCAGATGGCAGAGTTGTACAGATGCAGGGCGCTGTTGTCTCCCAGGACACTTCAGGAACTCAGCTGTGGGTTTTTTTCAGTACTTGTGCAGCAGACCTCTGCATTGCTATTTGCAACCTCTGTCTCAAGCAGATCAAGCGTGGCAAAAACATCAACCGCTTGGGACACCTGGGAAAGTTGACACATGTACCATGCTTGGCACACATCCTCAATTTGGTGGTAGTGTTTCTTAACCAGGTACCCAGGGCTGCAAGATCTTCTGAGGCAGACCAGAAAAGACTGCATCCATTTCAGGTGCTCATTCTCAGCCAGTGTTCGTATGGCTGAAATCCAACCTTGATTCCACCTGCCTACAAATCGGCTTGATTTGTGACATGCCCACCAGAACTCCACTTTGGCAATGCTGCAGCGGCTGCACAAGCAGCAGAGGGCCATCAACGAGTACCTGTGCGAGTATGGCACAAGGACAGGCTCAGGTGACCTTGGCTTTTTTCTCCACCTCAGTGGCTGCTGATAAAGGAAGCATGCACTGTACTGTCACCATTTGAGGCAACGAGGATGGTGAGCCAGGACCAATGCATGCATCAGTGATACTATCCCTCTTGTGTTCCGGCTGGAGCATACTCTGCGGGGAAATTATGGATAGGGCACTTGAGGCAGAACAGCGGAAGGAAGGACGACTTCCTTACCTCTCAAGGCCCCCGTTACACAGAAACCAGTGCTGCAGGTCCGCAGATCACACAAGGAGGAGGAGGAGGAGGAGGAGGAGGAGGAGGATTATGGCAGCCGTGGGGGCATTAAAGCAGAGGATGACATAAGGCCCCCTTACAGGGGCTTATGTCAACTTCAAGGGAGGGTTTGCTGTCCCCAGAAATGCAAGGAGTAGTACGTGGCTGGGAGGAGGTAGTGACCCTGAAGACTCTGAATCTCATGCCTCAAACTTACGGTGCATGGGCTCCCTTATCCTGCAAAGCGACCAGGGGATTCGTGGTATTAAGGAGAGGGATTATTACTGCTTGGCAACCCTTCTTGATCCACGTTACAAGCGTAAAGTTGCAGAGCTCATACTGCCTTCACCGAGGGAGCACAGGATGAAACAACTTGAGGATGCTTTGAAGAGAAACTTGTCTAACACCTTTCCGGACACTGGTAGGTTACCAAGTCATGAAAGAGGTGCTTCTGAGGCTTCAGTTGGTCAAAGGAAGAGCGGTGGAGAAGGGGGCCTCCTGACTGGTGCCTTTAGAAATGTTTTCAGTCCTCAGTGCCCAGGGATGTTAACTTTAGGCACCAATTGGCAGCGTCTGCATCATCTTGTGCAGCAATACCTAGGGGCAAGAGCAGACATGGAGAGCTTTCCAGCAGACGATCCACTGGCTTACAGGGTCTTGAGAATGGATCACTGGCCAGAACTTAGCCAATATGCCATGGAGCTTCTGGGCTGCCCTGCATCCAGCATACTTTCCGAAAGGACGTTCAGTGCTGTTGTAGGTTCTGTGACAGATAAAAGAGTATCTGTCCACAGACTCCGTTGACCGGCTGACAATTATCAAAATGAATCAGTCCTGGATCAGCAGCAGCTGTCAATCCCCTGATACAGATGTCACCGAAGAAATTTGTCGGGGATCAGGGATCTCTGGAAGGCTGCCTAACTTTGTGGCCGATTATTCGATCTTCAAGTAATGTTCTCGGTGTAGTGCACCACCAACACCCAATTTTTCCGCACCCACATGTGACAGGTGCATATAGTTTTAATTTTTTCCAACCGGGTCCAACCCTGCACTTACCAAGAGTCACTCTAAAGGGTTACAGTGGGAAGGCAACGCCAACACCAAATATTTCAAAACCTGTGTGACAGGTATATATAATTTGAATTTTGTTACAGCAGGGTCCAACCCTGCACTCATCAAGAATCACTGAAGGGTTACGGTGTGAAGGCACTGCCTACACCAAAGGCCGTTTTTAAAGCACCTGTTACTTTCATCCAATGTCTGCAAAAGAGGCACCAGAATTTCCCCAAAAAAATCTCTAACCTTGTTCAGAGTGTCCTTTAAATGTGGCCTCTTCATACAGGCTGCCTCCCCAAGCAGTTGTTTACAAGATTAAAAAGGGAAAACCAATTACTGGCAATTGAAATGTCTTTTTTTTTCTTTTTAAAATGTCACTTTTTGCTACAGGAGGTTCTAGACATCGTACAGATCCGCTACTTCACAGGCCATTTAAGGGGACCCCCCAAGGCAAGGAATTTTCAATTTTTATTCTTACCCTTTATGTGATGTAAAAAAATCACTGCTCCTTTAACCCCTTCATGACTGAGGCCTTTTTTTCATTTTTTGTACCCATGTTATATTCCACATTTTAGGCCTGAAAATTACTTAAAACCCCCCAACATTATTTTCTGAATGCCAAGAACCTATAGAATAAAATGGTGGTAGTTGCAAATTTTTATGTTGCGCAATATTAGCGCAACTCCTTATTAAACCCCAATATTTAGTGAAAAAATTAATTAAATGCCCCAAAACACAACAAAATACCCATTTTTTTAATGAAATATAAAAGATGAGGTTACAACGAGTAAAACGATACCCAACATGCCCAGGTTACAAATTGCGTGCATCCGTAAAACGGCGAAAAACCCCAGTACCCCAAAAAGTCCATAGAAGACGCTTTAAAAGCCCCCACAGGTCATCAATTTAGAGATACCCCAAAATACTGGCCCTAGAATTATTGCTCTCACTCCGGCGTGCGCGGCGATACCCAACATGTGTAGCGCGTTCGTCGTTTTCATACGTAGGCGCACCCGACGCGTGTTTACATGGCGACGCGCGTGCGCGCGGGGGACTTTTAATTTTTTTTATTATTAGATTTATTTTATTTAAATTTAAAAAAACCCGCGAACACCAAGATCGCCGGTCCCGGGCCT